AACATAAAACCTTAAATTAAAGCATTATTAAAAAGAAGAAGGAGAGACCAAGAGGATGAAAAACCTGAGGTTGAAGGCAGAGGCCTCTATGGGGTTAGCCATCCCCATGCTTGTATTCTCACCTCACCCAAGGCCAAGTGGCAGAACCAGGTCTTCAAGGCCCTTCGGAAGGCCAGGAGTGTGGGGGCTAATTGCACCTCCGGGGGCAGGATGTTCCAAAGAGAAGGGGTTACCGCAGAGACGGCCCGCCTTCTGGACCCTGCCAGTCGAAGTTCTTTCACTGAGGGGGTCCGAAGCATGCCCTCTCTGTGTGATCTTAATAATAATCTTAAATACTGTACAAGCAAGATTGCTGCCTCATGGTTAATGCTACCATGGCATTTCCAGCCAATGTAGTAATTTGTTTCCTGAAGCAGGAAAATAATGGTTGAAATGCTCAAGCTAAGATAATCTCAGTGGAATACTTTTCTGGGTGCCTAAACTGCTTTGCTAGTTTGTGAGTTATCATACTATGCAAATTATTGTATATAACTTCCATGTTGAAAACCTAGCCAAGTATGTGTTAATCAATAAATCATGATTAAGCATCCCATGGCTTAAATGGACAAGCCATCAGCAGCACAAGCCAGAGTTTGGTTTAGAGAAATCACAAAGACCTTTAAATTCCTGTGATTTAGACAGGTCACATGGGAGAGGAATGTGACTGAAAAACACAGAGAAAAACAGTGGGTGATTCTGTTTGCATGGCACTAAATGACAATTCAGGCACATATTAGCTTAGCATTATTTCAGTCCTACTGATGTTCATGATTAACTGTATTATATAAATCTGGAAGAATCAATAAACAGTGGGTGACTGTAACAGTGGGTGACTAAACCAGAGAGACAGAACTAAATTACAAACCCAAGACCCACCCCCTCCCCCAATTGAGGATCTTGTAGTTAAAGCTCAAGCTGCAAAGTAAATTGAAGATTACATGGCTACAGATGTAACTACACTGTTGAGGTTTATTTAGATTAAATAAATCTCAGCCAATTAAGTTAGTTTATTCAGTTAACATTTAAATAAATGAAGATTTAATCAGTTAAATTATTCGTGAAACAAAACTCCACTTGTTTCCAACGTACACATATTGCAGCTGGCACTGTCTTAATCCATGATTTATTAAACTCTTGTTTACTGGATTAACTCATGTAGATGGACTGACACACAGGTTGATCCAAAAATAACTATTCTTCCTGGCTTTGCATAATGCACTGAGTCAGAAATTAACTACATTATAGTTTAGCATGTTGTGCAAACTCAATCACTATGTTTGAAAATTGTATAAGCCAAGTTTTATTCTCTGTAGTGTGGATATTTGGGGTCTCCCTATTTGATTTATAAAAACTGTTCTATTAGTGGCAGGATGTAATCAGATATCACCCAATATTTTAACAGTATATTTTGATTCTAATTCATGCTGCTTTACATAATAGAGGTTGTGTCCAATGATTATGTCCACCAAAAGAAATGGCACCAATGACAGAATAGTTTCCTGTCCCTCTTGCAGCCTTTCCATGCGGATCTGATGAGAGAGAATGGGAGAAGCTAAACTAAACCTTAGCTGTGTAATCTCAGCTAAAATCCAAAACTCTTTAGGCTTAAATTTGGAACATAAAATAATTTTATTTTGTTCACATGGTTTGGGGATAAATCTCATTACAGAAATTATAGTTGATCCAAAATGCAGCGACCTGCATCCATTTGGACTTCCAGCATTAGGAGCTAATTACACTAGTTTTATAGACCCTGAATTGGTTGCTGATTTATTTCTGGATCCAATTTAAGGTACTGGTGCTGACTGATAAAGCCCTTTATAGGTTGGCACCCAGATTCCTATAGAACTGTGTGAGAACGTGAGACTGGGATATATAAGAATGCGAGACTAGGCTGAAGTTGCCATAACCTAAAAACGGAGCATGACAAGACAAAAGCCAGGAATCTTGTCAAAAAGATCCTTTCAGGAAATAGATAAGGAGGAACCAAATTGCTAAGGATCAAAGAAGAAATGTCACCTGAAGATGGACAAAGTAGGCCAGGTGCTGAGGACACAGAACCCCCACCCCATTACCTAATTGGGTAATGAACTGTTTGCAAGCAAACAACCAAGCTAAGAGAACAACATGGATTATTGTTCCCAATAGCTCCTGGGCAAAGACCACCTTAGCCATGGCTTCTACCTGGTGTTCCAGGAGGATCTGTGAATCCAAGAAGCCTTCTGAATCATGGCCCTGCTCCTGAAGGGGGAATGTGACCTTCTGTAGGACCACAGTAGAACAGATGTTCATGGAGGTCATGTCTATGAACAAACAGCAGCTACATCTTACTCAGATATAATCTGAGTGTGTTTCTCCCTATCCACTCCCTAGCAACCTCCAGGCAGCAGGTTAAGACAGCATCCCTGTCCTGCCTGTCCTGTCCAGGGTTACAGAAATACAGCTGGGTATCAGCAATGTACTGATGAGATCATCTCAAATGGATAAATGATGGTTCCCAACAGTAGGACTGGGTTCTGTAGTATCCACTCTGGAGTAATCATGGGCTTGATCATTCTTCCCCTAAAATTACACTATTTCTATTGTATTCCAAAACTCATAAAATCTAGCTGTCCTTCATAAACTTAACTATATTTCATGTATAGTTATTTAATATTTATAGTTAAATAAGGT